GGCTCACCGCTCTCACACAGCGTGTGGATGCAGGATGTGTCCCACACTGCTCCCTGGGCAGCTCAAGAGCAGGGAGTGAAACTCTCACCCCCGCTCCCCCAGGCCCCGTAAGCTCCCTCAAAAGGCAGATCCTCCCCCCTCACCAGAAGCGAAGACCAGTTATGGAGTGGGATCTTCTTCTGGAGCACAAGCTGTAGGAAGTTGCCCTTCTTGCACTGGACCTTGCTGCAGGAGCTCTCGATCTCCTCGTAGAACTGACAGCTCCACTGGCGCCCGTCTGCAAGCAGAGGGGAACAGCACCTCAGGCAACACTCCAGGCTGCTGTCACCTAACCCACAGCCCCTTTCACCTGTCCCAAGGATCAAGGGAGCACTCATCCAGAGCCAAGGAGGCTGCAGGCAGGCTGCCACCCACACCCCAGGAGCCTTCAGGGCTTCAGCCAGCTTCCCTGGATTTGCTTTGTACATCTGGCTGGCTCCTTCCCAGAGGGAAGGCCCTGGGCCTCCCTGTCCTCAGGGACACTGTCACTTTTCCAAGGGATACCCAGGGCTGACTCAATCATCCCAGCAAGGAGGGGACAGAGAGGCACCAGGGCAGCAGTGGGCACTTGTTCACTTGGCACAGAGGCTGGCTCCTGTCCCCCCAGCTCTACACCCTTCTTCTTTTACACTGCTCTCGTACGGGCCCTGCCTGCTGGCTGAGGCTGTGCCAGCTGACAGCAGGGCACTGCCTCTGAAGGAAAGGTTTTATGCCTGCCTGGATCAGGCCCACATCCAGCCCAGAGCTGGGTCAAACCCCGCTGGAGAAACACCTGCAGCAGTCGCTCTGCTCCCCATACCTGGTAGTTTGACCACACAGTCCGTATCGGTGAAAGCAGCATCCACATCCTCCACCTTCAGAGCTCCACTGCCCAAGTTCAGCTTGACGATGATCTCATCAGCGTTCTGCTTCCAGTCCAGCAGCAGCTCTAGGAAGAGGGAGGGAAGCATCACCCACTCGCTGAGGCATGAGCCTGCAGTGCCCACCCCTTGTCTGGGGAATGCGAGCCGGAGCACACGCTCGGTTCAGGGAGGTCAGCGCAAGGGACACAGATCATGACAATTAAATGGGACACTGGCGACCTGCTCTCCTCAGACAGGCCACAAACAAGAGCACATGTTGCAGCAGGTGAAGGGCAGGTGAAGCCCGGTGGGAACCGGAGAGATCAGAAAGGCAGTGCCGCTCTCGGCCCCGTCACGTGCAGCAGCAACGGATGGGAGGGAGGGAGGAGCGGCTCCTGGCAGCTACAAAGCAATCGCTGCTTTCCCAGGGAACAAGGAAGCCACAGAATTACTCTGGGGGATTCGAGTGGACTCTGACCATAACCAGAAATTGATACTTCCCCTTTGCATAGGCAAACCAAGCAGCCCAGCTGCAATCACCAAAGCACCGTACTCCTGCCAGGTGAGCACTGCCAACACGGCTGAAACACGGGCAGGCCCAGCAGCCGGGCTGCACCCAGGGAGAGAATGGCCTGGCAGCCCCACTCCTCTGCAGGCAGAGCCTCCACCAGGTGCCTGCCAGGCTCCAGCTCTGCCCCTGTGCTGTCCTGCAGTCTCCAAGCCAAAAAGGGGATTCAATCACCTTAATTTCAACCAGGTTCGTTCTACCCTCTGTGGCACACGGATGTCCTACCCTGTCCTCAGAGCTGGCCTGGACCAAGGCAGAAACCAGCCAACAATGCCCAGTGGCTGGCACAGCTTGGGATCTTCCCAGCATGACTCCCTGCTCAGAAACAAGCAGGACAGATGTCAATGGCAAAGGTGTCCCAGGGCTGAGCTCAGTGGCACTGTGACACCCCAGACAGAAGCAGCCAGCCACATGCCCCGGGCCTCTGCCTTGCAGAGAGCCCTTCCCAGCCACGGGCACCCTCCTCTGCCCCCGGGAAGGGCCACATCCTGTGAAGACAAATGCTGGGGCAAGAGAGCATTCAGGTTAGTTCTGCTCCAGGCCAGAGCACGGGACAACAACACAGTGAGAGCTTCAGATGCCTCAGCAAGGGCACTCGGTGGCCATGCACTGACAGCCGGCACACACCTCGACTTACCCTCCTCCAAGTCCTTCTGCTGGGCAGTCTCAGCCTGCTCGAGCTCAGGGTGAGACACTGGTGGGCAGAGAAACAGGGCATGGGCAGGTCTGTCATTCTGTCACCTCAGAGCACGGGCCACCACGCTGATATCCAAAATTTCACGCATCACCTCCTTCTCCCCTGAGCAGAGCTCTGTCCAGGGCTCTCATCCTGCATCTGCTGCTCATTTCCCTCCTCTGCTTCCTCACACCTCTCCCTTTCCCAGAGTCCTGCCTGCAGCACCACAGCAGATCCGCCTCCAGGATGGCTGCTCTGGGCCACACCACCACAGCCCAGTCCAACCAGCACCACAGCAGAAGCGACACAACATCACCACGCTGTGCAGACAGCGCTGCTCTGAGGAATGTCTCCGTGTCAAGCTCCTGCTGACCGGGCTGCGCACGAGGCCCTCAGCCTCCAGCCGTGCAGAAGAGTCCTGCCTGGATCTGACAGGGACAACCTGGTGTTTGGTTCTGCTCACACCAATTCTGCTGTAACAAGAGAACCAACATTCCCATCCCTGAGCAAGCTGCCAATGCCCATGACCAAAACCTCCTTCCAGATCAGGCTGGGGAACCAAACCGGCCTGACACCTAATCCCTGCTCCCTGCAGCGTTACCTCCGCAGCCAGAGGCATCCCAGGGGCTGCTCCACCCCCACAGGGCGGTGAGCTCTGCCAGACCGGGGGCTCGAGGTGACAGCACCTTGTCCTGGGGCAAACAGCGGCAACGGGAGCTGTGGTTTCCACTCACAGAGTGCTCAGAGGGCTGTCACTGGCCTCCCTTGACCAGTTACAACCAGTAGGAAACCTCTGCTGAGCACCACAGCAGCACTGCCTGCAGGATCTACAGCTTGCTGCAGCCACTCACCGCCCCTGTGCAGAGGGGATGGAGGCAGCATGGCCACACCACAGCCCCTGGTGCCAGAAGGTGCAGAGGTCAGGCCTCAGCAGGCACACAGCACACCTCCCACAGCAGAGAAGCCGCGATGCTGCGCCCTCTGCACAGGGGGTTTTGCATCGGGAACCGCAGCCAGCAGCTCCAGCACCGACCTCAGCCTGGGGAACAGCCTGTGATTTGGAGGTACAACAGTCACAGCGGGGCAGGCAGAGAAACCAACCAATTATCCAGGGCTGCTGGAGGAACCCTGCCTGCATCCTGCCCGCAAGCACCCCCTGCCCAGCACCAGAAGCATCCTTATCATGGCTGGATACCAGCAGCTAGGGAGGGGGTTATTCCACAGCGACTGTTCCGCTCCAGCCACACCTTGCCCTGACTCAGGAGCTAAAGCCACAGCCCCACCCGCAGGCCCCGCACTTGGTGGGCCCTGTCAGCACCTGGTCACTGCCTGGCAGCAGCACTTGGCCCCTGCAAACCCAAGGGGAAGCAGCACCGCATCCAGCTGCAGGAACATCCACAGGCATCAATCCCATTCCCTCTGGACTGGAGCAGCTCAGCCCCAGCCAAAAGCAGAGTCGAGGAACAACCACTCGAGGCCAACTCCAGCCTTGTGCTAACAAGGCCACAGCTCCGACCTTCCCCACAGAGCTGGGGCTACGTAGCACCCGAAAGAAGGAAGCTAGAGGTCCAGGGAGGACACAGTGCTGAAGAGTATCCTACATCCCAGGGGTTACCATCGGCTGCAGGAAGCGATTAGTTAAATCTGCTTATCCTGCAGCAGATGGCCGCGAGGCTCCCACCCCGCGGGGCCCAGAAACCACGGGCATGCTCGCCCCAGCACTGCCGAGGGGCTCTCACCTTCCTTGCTCTCCTGGTTGGCTCGATCCTTCTGCTTCTTCTTGTTGGTGGCATCGTCCAAGCCCCGAGACACTCTCCTCTGGCCAGGGGCACTGGTGCTGCTGGACATTTTCAGCCGTTTGGAGGACACAAACGGCCCGCCGGGGTCGGTGATGGAGTCTGGGTCAGGGGTGCGACGTTTTCTTCCTGGCCCAGCTATCTTGGCGACTCTCTGTGGTCAAACTCTCTGGCAAGGAACTAGTGGCCTAAAGAGAGGAGAGAGCGAATGTGGCAGGAGGAACGGGTGGAGAAGGCCCAACAGCATCAGGATCCACTCTCTGCCCCAGGGCTGGGCCCTCCCGGGGCCAGTGCCCTCATACAACCTTCACTGCGGCGTTTACGGGAAGCCCCACGCAGCGCTGGGTGAGGGAACCTACCTCATCTCAGCTGTTAAACGCTTACAGCCAAGAGCACGGGCTCGTCAGAGCTGCCAAGACACAACCAGGGGTCTTCCGTACGTGGCAGACATTAAAAACCTGGAAAGCAATTGTCATGCTCATGGTTCCCACTACAGCAACACCGGCCCAGAGGAGCTGCCAGCACTAAAACACCCAGAGGCAGAGCCAAGGGCAAGGACAGGGGCAGGCCCTGACTGGCAAAATGGAGCCTTCGAGGTCAGCTGGGGCAGCTCTCCCCACGGGGCAGCGCGGGGCAGCAGCTATTTCAGTCAGACAGTGCCCTGTGCAAGAGGGCAGGAGCGGCA